ATTCTTCCTTTTCTTTCACTTGTGAAGCGTATATTCGAAAAACATCCATACATGGGATTAGAGTTCCGAGCAAAGAACCAACATTTGAGGACAGCATGCATGAATGTCCTCCTAAGCCTAATCGAAACACTGTGCCAGTCACCTCAGGAGCTCTCCGAAGAAGATCTGGTGGAAGCGGACAATGCACTAGCATACATGAAAGATGCGGGCTTTAAGGTGGATTGGTTAAAGAAGAAGCTGGAGGAAGTAAAGTAAAAGAAGGAGGAAGAGCAGGATGGTCAGACTCGGATTCAAGAATTGGAGGAAGAACTCAAGGACTTTGAAATTAGAGTCTTCTTAGAACTTAGGAAGCTAGAGATTTTGTAAAGAGGAGTCGCTGGAGCCTAGAAGTGCGAAGTGCAAAGACGTAGAAACTCAGCTGGATAAGGAGAAGGCAGAGATTTTGGAAGCCACAGCTCCTGATCTCTATTTCAATGATGTTGTTTGATGACTTGTGTTCTTAGAACTTGGAGCTTGGTTCTGTATGTTCGTTTGTGTCTAGGTTTTAGAATTAGAGCTCTAACATAGGAAGGAAGAGAGAGAGACTTCTGTTGGAATTGGAAGTGGAAGCTCATATATTTTGTAAAGAACTAATCTTTTTGTTGAGATGATGACTATGTAATCGGATATTCGGCTAAGTACTAAGCATATTTTTAATCAAGCTTAACTTTGGTCTTAAACCGAGTTTATATCAATGAGATTTCAATTCACCAAGGAAAACATCCCAAAGTATCATTTTTCTGCAAAGAAGCTGTTTCTAAATCGACATTGGGCCGAAATGCCAATAAACTGAAGTCTAGCAACACAAACCCATATGGAGAATCTCACTCTCACTCTTACTCTGGTTCTAGGGTTTCACTTCTGGTAGTTTGGTTTCAATGGGGAATGAAGCTGATAACAAGTTCACTATGGTCATTAAGGATTTCTCCTCTTTGCAATTCGAGGTTATTGAATCTGATAGATTCGTGATAGGTGGCTGCAAATGGTAAGAAAAATCGAAATTTCTCTTCTAATTTAGGTTTACGAGGACATCAACTGCTTCTGGCGGTTGCTGATTTTCGAACTTTGCCTTTTGGATTGAGAATACACGCAAAATATCGCCTCACTGTTGTAAATCAACTTTCGGACAAACTCTCCCTAGTGAAAGGTCTGG